TATATATATATATATATATATATATGATTTTAGTATGTTTTATTTAACTAAAATAACCCTGATTCATAACTATGGTACTACATAACAGCAGTGTCTCCTTCTAAAAAAGAAAATGAAAATAGTAATAAACGAAAATGAAAAAGTCCCCCTGAAAACGACCAAAATTGCAACCCATTTCAAATGCATTGCTTCCTCTCAGTTCCTTCACCTGTAACATTTAAATTCTACTTGACTAAAATCCTCTCCACAGCTTGAGTTTGCCACTTTAAAGTTTTGTTCAGAGAGCAATTTGCTTTCTCCGCCAGACCGCAATGTCATGCCAGGATAGGTCGAGCTTTTTCTAATACCGAGAGGATCTCCCACTTGATCTCTTCAATCTCACTTCAATTTCCAGCTCTTCTCTCCGCCGTATCCTCCACTGCCTGAGGCTCTTCACAGAGGGTTTTACTCCTTAACCAGTTTCTTATGCAATGACAGAGTCCTCTCTGTGTGAGCCTGTTTTAAATGCTGCACACTTATTAGTGGAGAGAGCTGGAAGACACCATAAACCCCCTGCCAAATCAGCCGCACCAACACTGGAAGCCCCCTGGATTTACTGCAAAGGAATAGTGAAGCATATTTAATGCGCTTTAGAATGTGATGCAAAACGATATCACCATGAGAGTCATGACAAGCTGTGGGTGACATCACCATGAGGCATTACGTCTTTACTTTTTCCTTTTATCCTTCATGGCTTTCAGACTGAAATTGTTCACACTTAAAAGTATGTTCCCCCAAAAATGAGAATTTTGCTATCATTTATTCTCACCCCACTATCTATCTATACATTTTAAATGCTTTTAAAAAGTCCCTTATGCTCACCAAAGCTGCATTTATTTAATAAAAAATACAGTAAAAACAGTTATATTGTGAAATAATATAACAATTTCTGTTTTAATATATTTTAAAATATCTGCGACAGCAAAGCTGAATTTTCAGCAGCCATCACTCGTCTTCAGTGTCACATGATCAATCAGAAATCATTCTAATATGCTGATTTGGTACTCAAGAAAAATTTCTTAATATTATCAGTGTTGAAAAAAGTTGTGCTGTTGTATTCATGGAAACCATGATACAAATTTCAAAAGCACTTATTTATAATATAAATCTTCTGTAACAATGTTTTTACTGTCACTTTTAATCAATTTTATGCATTAATAATATGATTAATTTCTTTTAAAAAATCATACTAAATCCTAACTTTTGAACGGTAGGTAAGCCATTGGATTTATGATTTTCTGCCTGGCGACAATGAAACTGGTGAAAAATCCCTCAGGCTTACACTGAAGGAGGGACCAGAGCCATATCTAGGGATCGGAATATTATGGAGACTTATTGGTGGGCTTTTTTCTTTTTTCTTTTAAGTAACCAACCACCTAGCAGCAACATGCTAAAAAGCACCTTAGCAAAAATCCTGTGCATGTTGAGTCGCTCCAAAATGAGCCTTTTAGCAGACGCTTTGCCTTTTGTAATCCCGCCTAAAACATCCCCCCCGACATGCCTGATGAGTTACCCTCTCGCTCTCTCAGTCTTCCTGCCTCTACCTAACATACCATGTCAAATTTGTCTCTATGGGATGCCGTTGCTAAGGCAACTGAGATCATTAAGCAAGACTTATATGCGTTCTCACTGCAACGCATGTAGATGCAATAATGATGGCGAAGACTCGCACACACATAGTCGAGCGCACTAAATCAGGCGTTTGAAAAAAAACACTGATGTAAATAAACAAAATCTACTCGTGTGCCCTCCACGCTGCAGGAGGTCTCTCCAAACACGCAGCAACATGAAAGGAAAAAAGATAAAACGCTCCACCCTTCACCTGCTCCAAGAATGGGGGGAAAAAGAAGAAAGTAAAACAAATCCAGACTGACATTTCGGGCACAAGTAACCTTTAGTTAAATAATTCTTTGGTTTCCAGCACAACCCTTGCCCTGCCCTGGTGGCCAGCACTAGTAGGAGCAAAAATTGCTATCGCCCCATCCTGAACATACATATATCACTGCTCAAGACTCTGGATTAATGGAGGTTAAGGTTCAGTCCAGGGCGGGGAGAGAGAGAGAGAGAGTTTCCCTCCTCTAAACTCTAATCAAAAGCAAGATTAAATGAAAAAGGTGATGGAAAGAGGGAGGGAGGACGGAAATAGAGTTTGGGAACAATGTAAAAGGCACAATTTAGAACCTCAAACTGAGCTGACCTAGTTTACTGCAGTGCTTAGAACCTTTGTGAAGACGTTTAGCATTTCTAACTCTTTGTTTAACTGGGTCAAGATGATTGAGAGAAGCAAGCTAATTTCAAAATGAAAGTCGAAAAAAGAGCCATAATCAGAATAATTATTTGGAGGAGAATATAGTGAGAAACAGCCCTCTGTTTCTGTATTATAATTAGCAGTCGTAGCAGGCTGTCAGTGGAAATGTAACAACAAACAACCTGTCACTCCAATAAAAAGCTCATACTTCTGCAATAATATACACCAGAGTTAATACTCAGAGGTGGCAAAGTAGATGCATTAAAGCAGTTACAGATGCAATAAGCAGATAAAATGTCTAACAAATAAGGCACTTAACACAAAAAGCAATAAAAAGGTATTTGCTTGCAAATGGAAACTATTACATACAGTATGATTGATAAAATTCCTATTAAAAAACAAACATTTCATTATATTGTGACATCCAGGAACTGACATCATTCAAGGAAAGTGACATTACATTTTAAATTGTACACAAATTGTAGTATTGATGAAATCTGTCTCTGAATTTACCAAATTTATTGAAACAAACATTATTCAACAAATTTTGTTTTGTAACAGTTTACAAGGTCTACTTCAAAACATTAGCTAAAATGATTGTTGGCATGAAATGGAAATTCATCCAATCTCTTTTTTAAATGCGTCTTATTGAACTTAATTTGCTTAATTAAAAAAAAAATTTTTTTAGCACATAATTCTTAATCAAAATGTCAAAAATCAATCTCACCGTGAAATGACAGACTTCTCTTTATGTATGCTGGACTTCAATAATTTAGTCTAATTTAACCCTGCCCCTTTCTTACAATCGGTTTCAGATCTGCCTCCAGTCAATCAAAAACCAGGTCCCTGCTTTACATTTCTTTCTTTTTCAATAATCTGTTTCTGATATGCGTCACAATATGGAAAAAAAAAGACTTCTTTCTATTTCCGTTATATTGTGACTTGCATTGGGTATCAAACTAAAAACTTTTAAAGCTTATCAACAACCCAAAAAACAGCATTTGTTCCCATACTAGCTAGATGAACATTTTCTGAAGGATAAACATTTCCTTTTACTAAAAGACAACAAAACAAAATTGACTTTTTTTTATGCTTCCAGCTGCATGTCTTGGAAAGTGCCATAATCAATGCGGCGTGTTTGGTAGATCACAGACTCTGAGTTAATGCAGGTATCCCGCAGTGAGATGATGGGGATCGTTGGGGTGTGGATGTGCATTGCGGTATCTGTGAGCACCTTCAGAAGCTCCTTCATTAGCAATGCTATATTTAACTTGCATTCCACTGGGGCAAATGTACAGGGTGAAGGTCAATAGAGGTGTATCACGAGTTAAAGAGATGTAATTGCTGTCTCCTGGTATTGAACTGATAAGCACAATCACCCACTGAGTTCTGTAGGCCACTTAATCATGCAGAAGAAATTCTATCACAGTCCATTCGACACTCTCTGTTGTTCCTCTAAAACAAATGTTTTGAAATTATCGACACGCTGCTTTCCAATGTAAAACTGCTTGTAATTTCCCCCATGATCTCATGTAGACAAATCATAACTACTAATACATTGAGAGAATCATACATTAATAAGCATTTTCTATATGAGACAGGGAACATTTAGAAAATCTTTTCTGCTTGAGAAGTCCATGTTTGCCAATATCACTGTTGCACCATCAACTGAGTCCCGTGTGCAAACAGTCCATTTAATCAAAGCCACTGACAGGATCAATAATGAGCCAAACACAATGAAAAATAAATAGGTTTCACCTCTTTTAGACATCGAAAGACTTTCAGTCAAGCAGCATAAGGATTTGAGGTGAGACCTGGTCTCTAAGGGTCAGCTATTTGTAGCTTGACTGCTTTGAGAAGGATGAAAGAGAGAGAGAGAGAGAGAGAGAGAGGGTTGTCAAAAGTACTTTTAGTAGTATTTACCTTGTATTGATTGTGGGTTGCATTCTTGAGGGTTAAATCACCTCTCATCTGTCCCTCCCCAAGGCCTGTCATTGGATGAACTGTCCCAATGTACAAATTCAAATCTGCACTGTCAGATATCTGTCAGTTATACCAACAATAAATAAACCAACAGACTAAAAGTCATTAACCAGCATCCACAACAGCATATGTAGTGCATGGTATCATTTTATATGTCACTGATTATTGAGACATGGGATAAAACATCTTACAATTTTACTTATATTTAACTATTCTGGTGTGTTTTATAGATTTGACATTAATCTAAAATTATAGATCCCATTTTTCGATTTCGGGTAATTGTGCTAGTATTTTTTTTGTCATAACCATGATTGTCAGCTCCATTAACCTATATCTAGATTTGTCAGTAACAAATACTTGATACATTTTTGTATATGACAGTGTTGACAAGTGAGTGGTAAGTAAAAAAAAAAATTGTGAGAAATTGAAAGCGGAAGATTGCACTGAATACACTCAAGACATTAAACAGTTTAAACCAAAATAATTCTGAAACATAAACACTACTTTTCAGGTTTTGTAGCTTTGTCATAGTACCAAGAAGCAGCGATGTGCAATAAACAGAGACTGCTCAAACATTTACTGTTATAAAGATTAATATCAACCTTAATCAAAATTAACTAGCAATCAGTACAACACTGCAGTACACAGCTGCTGTTTTTTCTTTTCAAAGCTGTCAGTTTTAACACTTTTTAATCTGGTTCTTCTGTTTTTCTCCACAGAAGGGAAACACTCTGCGCCCCATTGATGCAGAAGTAAAGGTAAGACATATACCACTCAGATCTGAAGTTTGACTTGTCATACGTCTATACCTTACTATTCAAAAGTAATTCAAATCAAATCAGCATATTAGAATGATTTCTGAAGAATCATGTGACAGAAGAATGAATGCCTGCTGAAAATTCAGGTTTGCCATCACAAGAATAAATTACACTTAATATATTAAAATAGAAAAGTTATTTTAAATTGTAATAATATTTTTACTGTATCTTTAATTAAATAAATGTTTTGGTGAACATAAGAGACTTTTTAAAATTTATATATACGGTATATATATATAAAAAAAATCTTACCAATCCCAGACTTTTGATTGGCAAAGCAGAAGACTCTTCTATAAAATCAGTTTCTATTTGCAGTTTCTTGTCTTTTTATTTCTTTGTTTGTGATTGGATGATGGAGAGCTCATGCTTGCCTTGCACTAGCCATTTTTGCTGCTTTGCAATGTTACTTCTCCTTAAGGAGGAGCAGAAATACACCCTTCCTTGAGTTTTGCTTATTTGTGCATTTATCTTCCCTCTCTCTCCTTCTGTCATTTTTTCTTATCCATGTCTCCCTCTTTCCCCACTTCATTCTCTCAATAGTGCTGCTTCAGCATTTTCAGAGGTGTCAGAATAAACAACCAATCAGTGCATTATTTTTTAAATGGACGTACAAGGGCCTACATTATTTCTTTCTCTTTTCACTGTCTGCAGCTCAAAGGCAGAAGAACATCTCACCTGTCCCAGGACAAAGATGGGCAGCCTCATGATCCTCTCCTGCTTCAGGTGGTACGTAAGGGTCACAGGAGGAGATTGGGTACAGCTGCTGGCACGGCTCGGCTCATGGCTATCACAGACTGTGTGGACAACGGCACCCAGACCGACATCAGCTTCCAGAACTTTCTGAATGGGGACAGAGGGTCTTACCCGAGCAGTGGATCACCCATGCCCCCAAACTCTCCTCCCCTCGCACAGCTGGTGGAGCCATACCTGCTGAATGACCTGTGAGCGTCTTCACTGTCCTCTGCCTCTTGATCAGTTCTTATTACTGTCTGTGTATGTCTGTGAGGTGGACAAATGTTACATGCACTGAAAACCTACTGAAGAAACATATGTCTTTTCACAGTGGTTCTTTGGGGCAGGAATATAGTGATACAAACTATAGTGACTACTTCAATGTTGCCAACCATGAGGTGAATCAACAAGAAGAGCTGGAATATGAGGTGGGAAAACAAGAAATCATAATAGCCTTTTACATACAAGTAAACCACTATTTTGAACAAATTAAATCCCATTGATTTTATTATTTTTTTTAAACCTGGGTAGTGTAATAATAATAATAATACAATTATTTTGAATACAGATGTCAAATACAGATTGGTTGATATATAATATAATATAATATTAAAAGGTAAACTTATTAATAAAATTGTCCTGGCTCACACAAATCCAAATAAAATGCAAACAAGCTCATTTTAAATAGATAACTGGTTGATTACAAGTATGACCAGGAATAAAGCACATACTTTCACTAACCTTTTATTAAAAAAAAAAAAAAAAAAAAAAGTCATGCTGTATGTTTCATTGTTCTTTCTACTAGTAAAACACATGCACTCTAAGGGGAAAAAATGGGACTAGATGGGTTGATGCAAGACCAGTAACCCAAACACATTATCACAACCTACAATATCTCATAAATTTGCTCTAGCTGGCTTTCTGTCCTGGTGCATCTTTAAAGCAGAGAGTTTAATCTCTACCCTATAAGCAGCTTTTCCTCTCTGTCTTTTCAGGAGGTGGAGCTGTATAAGTCGAGTCAGCAGGATAAACTGGGGCTAACAGTCTGTTACCGGACAGATGATGAGGAAGACCAAGGCATCTATGTTGGGGAAGTGGGTGGCCACATGAGGCTGAATGTTATATTTTAGTGCTCAACACAAACATTGCTAAGTATTTAGCTGAGATATTCAAGTTATCCAGCTGATATTTCAACCCTGTTCTTAGGTGAATCCAAACAGCATAGCAGCAAAAGATGGAAGAATCAGGAAGGGGGACAGGATATTACAGGTATGTTTTTGCTCAGATGTGCTGCTAGAGTCAAATGACATCAACAACAATCACTAATGAACTGACATCATCATGTCATTACGTTCATCTGGGCGGTCAAGTGTTTTTAGAGACAATCAGTCTATAAACAGATAATTGGTGTGACAGCCCACACAATTACTCTAGAGAATAATTACAGAACAGCAAAGACAATGTGTCATGTTGCCTTTGTCTCGACAAGTTCTTCATTTATTCTGGTTTCTGATGTGGCACTGACACATTCAGTATCAAGGACTCAGCCGCTAATGTTTTGATGTTATGTTGTTTTGGTAAAAAAGCGGACCTTTTTGTGTTTGAACGTAGCTGTGAATGAAGTCTCTGTCTGTCCCACATTAGATAAATGGGATGGAAGTTCAGAACCGAGAAGAAGCGGTGGCCATCCTGACCCGTGAGGACAGCACCAACTTCTCATTACTGCTGGCCAGACCAGAGATAGAGGTAAATAAATATAACACATGTGAAAGAGATAGGATCACATTAGAATAAAGAGGATAAATACATACTTTTATGAGAGTACATGCTAACAAAATAGAAAGAAAAGTCTTTTATATATCAATTATTTGTCCTAGACAGTAAAATGGAGCAAATTGCTGCTTCTCATTACACCATATACTGTCTCTTTTTAGGAGAAACTTTAGGAGAAACCTTGTAGACAAAGTGGACACTAAAACGAACCATGCATGAACCATTAAATCATCCCCCCAAATCTCACATCCTCAGAGCAATTAAATGGTTTTCTAAACACACACATACAAGCATGATTCAAGTGCACACATACACACAAAAATAGGCTTTTTGAGGCACATGCAAAGTTAATGGACCCACTCTGTCCCCAACGACAGCATATCCTAAAATTAATGGCTTATTTTGCTGAAGGAAGGGAAACAGAAGAAGTCTCACATCACTCAATGTCTCAATCATGTGATCACTCTTAGTGATGGGTGTCAAGGATTTGTGTCAGTTCCATTAACACTATTCCACAAGGAGATGAAGAGTGAGAGGGAACAAAGCTGCTTTACAGAATGGAATGGAAAAGTGCTCCATTAGAAAGACATGCACATAGGAGAAGTAATTGAAGGAATTGATGGAAGGTATGTGAGAGAGAGGGCAAATGAAGAGGTAGAAGCAAGGTACACTATAGGAAGGAAGGCTATCATGCTTTTTTTCCAAGGACATAAACTAATCCATCTGATGAGACTATGCTAATGCACTTTGTGCAAATATAATTTAAAACTTTAACCAGTGCTGGAATTTTACTTCTGCATTTATATTTATTTGTTTAGCAGATGTTTTCATCCAAAGTGACTTATAAATGAGAATAACACCAGCAGAAGCAATAAATCTGAAGTAAATCTTAAAGTTGTCTGTGCAAGCAAATGTATTGTTTTATTTAATACAAATTTAACAGCATTTTTACTCTTGCACCACACAATTATAAACTGTTCTAAATGAGAACCTATTTCAGAGCTGTATATATGGTGTTCTGAATTTCTGACTTTGTAACTGTCAATTTTTCTGCAATTTCTGGGGAGCCAGTGGTGATATTGAAAAAACGGCTGTTGGTTATTGTGTGCAGCCGGCAAAAATCATCCATCATGAGCACAGCCGTCAGCTAATGAATAAAACAGGGAGCTCATTTCAGCCAACGCTCAGCACTAACAAGATCAGAACAAAAAGGGGGCCATTTTGTACCTCTCATTCTCATCTACAATCACCCTCTCAGCAACACAAAATGATTAATGAAGAACTGAAGACCAGAAACAAGTGGAGCTGTCAGACCAAGAGAGGAAGAGATGGATACAGAAAGAGAGACAGATAGAGAAACAGGAAGGGGTTGTTGACTTACAGAAAGAGATTACAGGTTGACTAAATCAAGAGGAAGGAATGAGAGACAAATATGCTTAAGAAATGTCACAGGCAGACCATTAAAACAACCTGTGTTGCTCTTAATAAAAGTCTCATTTATAATCAAGTGATAATTGCAACTGATTATTGGCTTGCAACTATAGACAAAGATATTCAGGGAAAACAAGTAAATAATTAAATGAATCTGTATTCATCAATAAATCTTGATTTGTAGCAAGACATAACAATTGTCACAAATTAAAATGAACAAATGAACAGTAATATGAGTAATAGTGCCACTTTGTTATAAAGTATCTCACAATAAAATAGTTTTATTTTGAATTGGTCTCAATGATCATGTAATATATCTTACGTACTATGTATACTATATACATTCAATGTGAAAAATATCTCATAATATGTTGTTCAAAATGCCAGCTATAGATACATTTAATTGTATAAACGCGCACACACACACACACACACACACACATATATATATATATATATATATATATATACGCCTACATTTAATTGTATAAACGCGCACACACACACACACACACACACACACACACATATATATATATATATATATATATATATATATACGCCTGTGTGTATGTATGAAAATACTAGACCTCAAACCTTGTGGTTTAATAATAGGCCTCACAATTCTTGCTTTACAACCAAACATGTTGCACACATTTAAACAAATGTCTATATTGCCATCTAGTGTTGAAACGCATTACTGCATGTATTTACTTTTATGACAATAGATGTTCAACCTCTAACGCTTCCCTCTTACTTTCTTTTTCCCTTCCCTTCCTTTGTGCCTTTCACCTAGACGGACACTCATTTGGACCCAGAGGAGATTGACTGTGAGTTACCTGTAGGGATGAATGTGGACAGCCTTAATACTTCCCATCTGTCAGGCCTGTATCATTTCCGCCAACAGAGACCCCAAGGAGGCATTCCTGAGGAGACACCCATGCTCAGCATAGCAACCCTCAGCAACAGTCAAGAGCTTGACAGTGGTGTGGGCCGAACAGATGAGAGCACAAAGAACGAAGAATCCTCTGAGCATGACATCCTTCTGGGCGATGAACAGACCAGCGCCTCCAACACAAATGCCACCAACACGCCTGGCAGCTTGCGCAAGTTCAGGCCCGGCAGGAGCGGCGGAGGAGGGAACGACATGCCATCGCCGCTGTTCCCCCTCCGAGAGCTTCACCTTAGCACAGACTCACTGGACTGTGGAAGTGTGGGTGGTGGGTACCTTCATGATCCCGTCAGTGGGATGATAATGCCGGGCCTGACAGAGGAGGAATGTGAGAGGTACAAGCAGCTTCTGGAAATCAAGTGTCGGTATGAGAAGAGGATGAAGAAAGTGCAGCAGGTTCAAGAAGAGCAGCAGAAAGAAGGAGAGACACAAGTGGAAGCTGAGAATAGGGAGGAGACTCTGGATGAGAACAGTAATGAGAACCTGACTCCACATGAGATGGCGCTTTTGGAAGAGGAAGTGAGGCACCTTGAGTTCAAGTGCCGGAACATTCTACGGGCACAGAAGATGCAGCAGTTAAGAGAACTCTGTTTAAAAGCCTGGCTGATGGAGGAAGAAACATCTGGCAGGGTGTCTGCAGAACCTCAGGGGTCTCCACTGCACGAACTGTCTGACATCAACGAACTTCCAGAGAAGGAACGGTCGGACAAGGACAGCACCAGTGCTTACAACACCGGGGGAGAGAGCTGCAGGAGCACACCTATGGTGAGTGAGCATCGACTTCCAGTTTCTCAGCTAGATGAGTCCACAAGCCCTCTACCGAGTAGACACAGGGACCGACCAACCTGGAGTGAAAGAGGACGAGCAAGCCTCAACAGTTCATATTCACCAAGCAGCTACAAGAAGTTTCAGACTAACACCCCTATGAACCAGAAATTCTGCTCACTCACAAGAGAAGGAACCATCCGTCGCATGCCCGAAGGGGTGACACAAGGTGGAAATTCTAGGGTGAGCAGCCATAACAGGAATGGTGGTCGCAGTGCTGAGTCAAGTCCTTACTTCACTCGACGCCGTCATTCCAACTGCTTCACTCCAGAGCGCTACCAGAGTTGCATGCATCTGGGATCATCACTTTCTGAGAGTTCTGGACCTTTGGATAGAGCTGTGGAAGGAGAAAGTGAGGCACCAATGGGCGGCAGTGACCCTGAGGGCCATGGGAATGCCACCTTGGGGTCGTTGCCTCGACCCAGCCCAGTGAAGCTTTCTCTGGCCTTACCATTGCCACTTCCCCCTGCGTCACCACGCATGGAGTGGAAGGTGAAGATAAGAAGCGATGGGACCCGCTATGTGGCCAAACGTCCCGTCCGAGACCGGCTCTTGAAAGCCCGAGCTATGAAGATCCGTGAGGAGCGTAGTGGAATGACGACTGATGATGACGCAGTGAGCGAAATGAAGATGGGTCGCTACTGGAGCAAAGAAGAGCGTAAGCAACATCTGCTGCGGGCCCGCGAACAGCGCAGACGCAGAGAGTTTATGATGCAGAGTCGCTTGGAATATATGAGAGAACACGGTCTGGACATGGGCAAGGAAAGCCAGTCGGAGTCAGGGCAGAACCCAGCCTCAATCCTGGAGCTCAGTCAGAAAAAGAGCTCCAAGAAACGCAACCGACGCATACTGGACAACTGGATCACCATCCAAGAGCTACTGGCACATGGCTCTCGCTCTCCAGATGGGACAAAGGTGTATAATCCTCTTCTGTCTGTTACCACAGTCTGATGGTGTGGAAGGACAACAGGAAGAGAATCTATTTTATAGTTCTCAACAGTTTCAAGCGTCAAGCCACATTAATAATATGGCTAAGCAACGTCTAGCAACTATCGCCCTCTCTAATTTAATTTCAACAAATCCTATTTGTAACGAGCACTTGAAGTTAAAATATCTGAAAGTCCCAAACCAGACAAACTTACTTGAGAAGCAACACTAGATAAGACTTGTTTTCATAGATACTTATCTGTTGTTTTTAAATTGATTATACTCGGACCAATATAAAATATATTACTTCTCTCAAGTCTTAGTGTTGCTTCTTAAGTAAACATACCTTTCAAAGATTTTTTAGGAAAACAAATAAAAAAACAAAAACATCAAGTAAATATTTATGGGTGGCAGTACTTTAAAGTTTGTGGAAAAACTTGATTTTCTTGATTAATGAATGTCACATTGTATTGCTTCTCAATAGACATGATCACTCCTCTGAGGTCAAACGTCTGCTTTTGAGGATTTCTGTTTAACTTTAAACTGAAAACAGCGCATGGCTGAGTGACAAAGACACTCAGAAGATTATGAATGTTGACTGAACGTACACAGATAAGCACAACGCATACACCACAAACTGTACAGGCAGACAGGTCTTAGTCAAAATCTGCTCGTTGCAAGCAAACATATTGGACAAATGAAATGCAATCGGTAACTTCCTCACAGCTGCACAAAAGACAAACAATGATTCAATTTCTTAACTCTTGAATTTTCATGGAGAATAATGGGGGGATGGAATAACAATAAGATTTTTGTACAATTTACTGCTCTGACTACAACATCATATAAGTGCGTAACCTGTGCAGACACAATCATGTTAAACTTTCCTACAGAGATGTGGTGCTGAACATTTATACTGCTTGTTTGTGATGATCTGATTACACTATTCTTCTATACTGTTCATTATGACCCAAATACGACAAAAGCACAATTTAAGCCACATTGTGCTTTTTACCTTCGAATGTATGGTAATTATTTTCCATAACACCCTAAGTCATCACGGAGAGACTTTCACAAGCCTATGAGGCCTAGTGCGGACACATACTAATCACCAGCAAAAGGGGAAGCACAAACACACACTGGATCCCTATGAAATCTAACCAGCTTCAAAATGAAAATAGATTGTACATTTGAATATACTGTTATTAGGAACATTTAACCTGAAGTGGTTCACACAAGTGTAGCAAAGGAGCTAAAAATGAGGGGATATTCTTATTCATGAATCAATTAATGATATACGAATTTGTTAACATATTTGTAAGTGTTCAAAACAGTTTGAAGATTTTGTAGAAAATGGCCTTAAGAGTTTTGACCAGTTTGGTGATGAGAGCCACTTGTTCAGCTCAACTAATTTTGCATGATTTTAACTATGATTTTGACTATACTGTACATGCCAGAAATACACAATGAACTTTAGTGGAGAACTTCCATTTCTAAGTATACAAATGTATGTGACCAGAGGACTTTATCCAGCATCATTTGCCATTTCTGTCTTGGTGTTCGATAAAAATGTAGAAATCTACAGTTATACTCATATGGTACCTGTTGATTGATATCAGTAGTCCTAATTATACAATGTGTAATGTGCATTAGTTCTTGAGTGGTTATTTCAATGCATTACTGAGACCGTATAAAATATAACATTTTAGACAAATAAAACAATTTTGTATGCTTAATATAAATCTGTCAACACCCTGATTTCAGACTTGGATGCACACAACACACACATTCATACTGTACACACACAAAAATAGAGTAACACACAGACAAATAGTCACTCAGAAATATATATATATATATATATATATAAAAAAACAACTTTCCAACAGCAAGAACATGTTTTATAGAATGAGAGCAATAAATTATCACATAATTTCTCTGAATTAATTCTGCATTGAAACCTCATACATATATACAAATAAAACTTCATACAATTAATTTTAAATATAGGAACTGCTCTTACACACGTACTGATACAATTTTACAATTACAATTTGTTCCAAGCCCCACCCCCAGGTCCTTAAAATGTAAACAATGGTTCAAGTTCCCATTCCCAGCCAGATATTGATTCCCCAGTCCAGTGCAGAGTAAATATGGCATATGTATATCAACTAATATATACATTCAGGTTTATACAGCATCATTCAGCTAAGTGCAGACATGCAACACGGGGCACGGTGGCGCAAGACATTAGCGTGTCCATAAACCAGAACACACTTCTCAAAAACTACTGGATATTTTTTAACATCATACATCTCTGCTTTATTTGCATTTGAGCTCAGCATGCCCCAGCTTTCAGGACTTTTAATACAAGCACAAGAGCAAAGCGTTAGAGAGAAGCAATACTGCCCATAGGAAAAAAATGTGAAATGTAGTGAATGGCCCTCTAAATTCAGATCACGCCACAGATTATGAACAGGGGCAAGGAGTTCCTGTTTGTCTACAAGGGCCTTAAGGTTTCTGGTTATGGGTAATGCTAGCGGATTTGAAGTACTGGAATCCATTACCTGAATAAACAGTATTATAGTTTGACTTTTTATTTTATTTAAATAGGCAAAGAAAATAATAAAAATAAATGACTGGGACTAGCAGCAGAGATTAATATTCTTATTTAAAATGTTTTGTAGGACATTCAAAAAAATTTAAAATTTTATAAGTATAAAAATAACTCCTCAACACTAACACATCACTAATGTAATACTGTGAATGATTCTGCTTAATGGAGAGAGAATGGCCCATTTTGGTTGTCTAGGGGAGAAGTAAGGAAAGATAGAGGGGCTGTTTGGAGGGACGTAGATGGTATTGGAGCTTTGGATACTAGGCACTGATGATCTTTAACCCTTTCGCACGTGAGTTTAAAATATTCTAGCTGAGCCCCCAGCGTGAGTTTTTTTTAGGCGACCGTTATTTTAAAATACGCGTCAAAGGGTTAACTTGTGTATGTGCAAAACCAGAAACTTTTAGCAAAAAGATCTTCACATTTAAAGATGCTTTTACAGCTTCTCAGTGTGAATGAGTGTGTGCGTGTGTGTGAATGTAAGTTCCCTAAACACACTTTCATATATATAAAAAAAAAAGAGGGCACTGACATTGGACATACAACTCAGCGTAAATTTACAATATTAAACGAGTGAGTTGCTCAAGTATGTATGGCTTCTGGCAACGAGTTTTACACGGATCATACAGCTTTTATGTGGATATAGTTTTACAAACTTGCAGCAAAACATTTACTTGAAATTAGCAGTCCAATTAGGTTGCTAAACATTAATTGTACACACACACACAAAAACCCTAGCCTGTTGGTCTGTCTAAAAAAAAAAGCTCTTAGAAAACACTCAGCACGGCATTCTGCTAAAACATATCCATGTATTATATTAGTAGCTTTTACACCAAAAATAGCAAGAATTATATCAGTAGTATTTGACATCATAATAGTAATAAAGTCACCCATTACAATTACCCATATCCAGACGTTCTTTTTCAAATTCAGTTACTTCTAAATATTTATGATATCTGTAACACATTTTGACCATCGAAGCTGTACAAAACCAAGCCCATAAGTACAGATTTTACTTCAAAATTTCAATGACACTCTATGCAAACACCCCGCTCCTTCAACAGGCCATCCAAAGAAAATATAACACTGATCTCAAACCACCAATGACAAACCTTTACAGTAGGCACTAAGGTTATGTAATGATGAATTGCCAAATATAAATGTTTCATTGGTCAGGTGAGACTGTTTAAGTAGTAATGAAAATAATAGTGAAATGGTGACGCTAAAAGGGAAAGAGAGATGCTGAGGTAACAGGTGGCAGGAAATAAACAGATCCATGTCCTCATTATTGGTTGCCATTAGTCATGACACTTTTGTGTACGTTGCATTTAGGTTAGTATGCTTAATTGTCTTATATAATAGCAACAAAACAAAAGAACAAAATATCTACCAAACAATTTAAAATCTCTTTCTACACATTCTGTTTGGCGCAAATGACATCTTGACTTCACTGAGGTCTTCAAAAAAGTGTTTTTTTACTGTTATGGCTGACTTATTGCAACCCGGATGCCCAGCCTCTTCAAGACAAAAAACAAAACATTCTTCAAATGGTTTCAAAATAATGTTTGTTTGTTTTTTACTGTGTAGTGATGCAAGTTTTCTCAGCAGTTCCCATCCTGTCCTTTCACTCACAGGGTAAAATAAAAGTCTCTTTTAAAATGATTAAAACATAGTGTTTGGCATCCCCCCAAGTGCATGCTGGCCCTTCTTATGTGCTGAGGAATACATTTGTCAATTTTGAGAAATGAATCAAGCAAACATTTTCTGACTGACCCTGAAATGATTGTCATCTGAGACTAGACTTGTGCGGGTATTCGGTAATGCGATATATCACGGTAATGAATATGCACGATATTGCTGAGACGCATGAAAACTGAAAAGACTATAAATGAAAGTTCAGTTTCTTTTATATTTTGCACTCATCTGTCCAGTTTTGTCTCCATGTTGAGTGTTTAAAGAGTTCACCATTGTCGTCTTCTGTACAGTCAAACTTGGTCTCTTAAACTCCAGATCATCAGTCCGACTTAAATTGGCACCCCCTTTCTCCCTGTAACCTTTTCCTTTGGCAGCCATGCATGTCAATTTCAACTCGAACTCTTAAAATACACTTCATTTGCTTCACCACTGTCTCCATTAGGCTTCTTAGATCTTCAGTCGGAGATTTGATGCTGTTACACAGCCTTTGTTTTGAATGGCGGCCAACAGCAAGATGCCATTCAGGCTAGCAATGAGCATGTAGCCGGCCAGGATTCCCGCCCTACACGTGAGGGAAGCGCATATGGAAGTAACAGAGTCTGAGTATGGTGTGCTTCCGCTTGCCTGGGCTCCGGCTCCTCCGCGTTGGGACCCTGCGCCCTCTGCCGCGGCTCACCCTTACACCACCGTGCTGATGCGGTTGATAGGTTTGGATTTGGAGCTGCCGACCGTGCTGCTGTTGCTGGCTCCACCTCCTCCTCCACCCCCTGGGCCACCCAAATGCAGCCCCATGTGTCCTGGGAGCTGCGGGGCAAGCGGGGAGAGCGGGGTAAGAGGGGTCAGGGGGGTATGTGGGGATGAAGGAGGAGGTAACGGGGAATGTGGTGGAGGAGGTGGAATGGAGGAGAGGGGTGGATACTGTGGGATGTAGTGGGCGACGCCCTGGGGTATGTAGCGGGCGGTGATGGCGGATGGCGCCTGAGGGGGCGGCGAAAAAACGAAGTGAGTTTGATGGGCGGAGTGATCCAGTAAGGGGTGTGGGCTGTGGGCGTGTACTGGATGGCTGTGGGTATGAGAGTGAACGTGGGAGTGGGCGTGAGGGTGGGGCTGAGAGTGAGACAGGGTGAGAGGAAGCTTGCCGGTAGGACCGGGCACCCGTACGTGGCGTATGGGATTGGGATGCATGTGGTAAAAGGTGAAAGGGGCGATGGGGGAATTGGGCGAATGTGGGGACAGAGGCGGAGGGGTGCAGGCCATATTGCCGTAGCGGCCTTGCTGCATAGCATGATGGGATAGTTGCTGCTGGAACTGGGCGTGTGAAGGAGCGGGCGGCCCGCGCCGTGGGAGGGACCCTCGTTGTAGGGTATGATGGATAGCGGGCGGATGGCCAGGGGCGACGGCCTGCATGTGGTACTGATGATGATGGTGGTAGAGGGGTGGAGGCTGGCCAAAGTTGTTGTGACAGTACTGAGCATGAAGGGCCTGGATCTTGGATGGCCCACTGGGGTCTGACTGGCTGAGGGCGGAGGGGGACGGAGGTGGCGGCCCTCCTGTAGTAGGAGGTGGCACGGGGGCTGGGTAATGTGGCCCGGGGGGAGGAAGGGGAGCAGGGGGTTTGGCACGCTTGCTCCCAAACAGGGAGCCCAGGAAGGAACCGGAATTGCTCCCTCCAGAACTGCTCCCCGGACCCCCACCTCGATTGCTGATGCCAGGGACTCCCCCCATATTGCCTACGGCGTTGTGAAGTTGCCCCGACCCACCCCCCACCCCTACTCCGGGGCTCAGGACGGGGCGGTGAGGCCGGTAGTCTTCCAGCCCATAGCAGCCGGGAACGGCGCCCCCTATGGGCAAGCGTTGATGCGGCTGAGGACTGTTAATGATGGATCCCTACAGTGTGCACAAACACACAAAGCCAGACAGTCATTACACTGGAAATCTGAGTAGATGGCCAGTCTTAGAACTTATGAGTTACAAGTGACAGGTATTCCCCAGATACTTTTTTCAAATAAATAATGCATGTTACTTCTCAAGAACACACCAATATTAAAATTCGTTATAAGAGATAATGATTTTCATGCAATAACCGATTGGCTCTCTATTAAAATTCTATAAAAAAAAAATTCTAATTTACAAAAAGAGAAAAATAAAACACTAAAACAAGTGAATTTACAAAGTACAGTGTAAAAACAATATGATTTACAAGATAATATTTAAAAACACCAATAATTTACTGTTAAATGTTAATGTAATGACTGAATTCTCTTGCAGAATTTTGAAATTAATATATTTTATTTCTAATGTGTACTTTTAATTTCTGTACTATATTAATACATTTGAATGATTTCCATTTATCAGCAAATGGTTATAACATGAAAATAATTATCAGCTTATTGGTATCAGCCAGAATTTTTGTAATGGCACATCTAAAAAAACAACAACAACAAAACAGAGCAACAATTGATATTGATACTTAAAAGTACAAGCACACAAGACGTGAAACATCACCGTACTCACATATCCTGCTCAGTGACAACCCAAAAAGCTTTTCAGCATTAAATACAAACAGACTCAAACAACTTACCAAAGTTAGAAATGACAGTGTCACTTTCACAAGCCACAAAATCAGTCAGATAACAAAGTAAAGCTTCCTCATTATAGAATCTCACTCATTTTACATGTATTTAAACATGCATCTAAACCTCTAAAACTGAAGCAGCTCTCAGACACTGATTGGGGCCATTAATTTACCAGAGCAATGCATTAGTCATAAGCAACTGCACCAGGCATAACATATTAGAAATGCTGCATGCAAAGCAAACACCAATTAAGTTTTTTACACAATACGGATTAAAACATGCTGAACTGCATCACAACAATCAAAAATTCATGCAAAGCCAATGTTTTTAAACACAGAGGTCTCATGCATTTAAGAAACCTGAAACACAAGATAATTTAATTTTATTATGATTACAAGCTGTTAGCAGATCTGCCTGACTTACTTCTATAGTACTATCCAAAGAGCCAACGCTGTTTCTACGGCCTCGCTTTCCTGTATCCAACCAAGCACAGCAAGGTTAGGGTCAAAGGTCATATAGAAAACATCTTCTAAAATATCAGTACTGGGTGTTTGGCCCTGGATGATCCATTTTCAATTAACAAATATCTACAAATTGTGTACATAAATGTCTCCTGACAAAACTCAACTTCACATCACTGAACTTGATATTGGCTGTGTTTAGAAGGCATTTAAAACAGTAGTGGTTGTCACATGACCACATTACATTTAATTCTGCGAGTTATCCTCTATAAAATGGCTATTTTGTATTTTTATATAATTTGTGTAAAAATATGTTAGCACTTGGCAACCCCATCAAACACTGAGTAAGAAAAAAACATTTGGCAGATATTACTTAGAAGGTCAAAGTCAAGATCATTGTATTGTTGGATACAGTATTTTGCGGAGTCTGCTCCATTATATACCGCACATCTTAAAAAATGTATCATCTGTACATTATATGCATACAGAAATTTTGCATACTGTGACAGTGTACATACTTATCATTGCAAAAAATTATGAGCATGCTATTCCAGACACTTGTTTAAAAAGCCTAACGCAAGGACATAATGTGCCATTAGAGGGCAGTGTCTGTCAAACTGTACTTGGTTATAGAAGTTCAGCACTTCTATAGTTCAGCTTCAGCACTCACAGGACGCCTTTCATGATCAAACTATGGTGGAATTATAAATATTTCTCCCAATAGAGAGAAGCCAAAAACAAATTTAAATTAGGGCTATCAATAGTTTATACAAATAATATACACTAATTTATTTGTAATTAATCCAATTAATTAATGTCCATATTTGAGTGAAACTAAAAAGACATTACACTGTGGCAAACAAGAAAAAGCAAGGAATAGAAAAAAGTGGCTTAAGAAATCAAATTGTTTGTTTTACAACATAGGTCTGTCAGCTGCCTACAGTCCACAGAAATTCATAAAGCATCCATAATTAAAATGTGCTAATACTTACTGCACTATTATGCTATAATTCCATTAAATGAACACATAAAACTGACAGCTGTAGTTTAAATAGAAGGGAGTTTTTTTTGTGTGAATGTGTGTTGTACCTGTCTCAGAGAGGTCTCTCAGTGAGGAGCTAAGTGCTGTTCGTTTAAGCCCCTCCCCTGCTGTGTACGTGTCATCCAGACTGGGCCTACCCAGAGTGCCGTTCACAGCCTCAGTCTTTATTCCGCCAACCCCGCCACCATCTCCGCTCAGGAGCCCTGGACGCATCACACCTTTCTGCTTCTCTAACTCAGCTATGGAGAAGAGAGACCAGGGGTTAATGCTGGCAAAAACGGACTATTACCATAATGAACAATAACCCTAATTAATAATTAATCAGATACACAGCAAATTTCAGAAATTTCAGCTTGCAAACAGGAAAGGAACTTCATGCTTTTGATCTGTCATGTGTGAAACAACAGGTCACATTAAAGGATTTCTTACACCCTACACGGTATTTCTCCATATCTTGAACCTCAGCGATGCTCTCACGCAGGTCGCTGGTGAAGCGCGTTCGGTCCTGCTGGCTTGGCGCATTGAACACAATCAGGACCTTACGCTCACTGCCGGGCATCGCTGATGTCAATCTGATACCGTGAGGATAGTCTGAGAGAGAGGGACAGAGAGAGGGTAAATGCAGTCAATTAGAGAGAGACCCAGAAAAAGAGGGATGTGCTGTGTCTCATGTAATTAGTTATAGATCTTTCATTCTGACAAAATCCACAGATACACACAAGTACTGTACTTCAGCATGTCAATGTGTAGGAAAGATATATTTCATTCAAAATATATGGTCTTAACCATGTGGAATAATTCTTCAAGCTAATTTATTTTCTTTTAAATATAGATATTTTTTTAGTGGAAAACAAGTGCAAAACAAACACTGATTAAGATAAATAGAAAACAGACATTCCACAGACGTTCCAAAATAACAGCACAGCCACAATAGAGGGTGAGGATTTTTCAGATAGACTTCTTTTTCTCCTTCATATGCTGCTAAGAAACCAAAACACCACCTACATGAAAGCAAGGAAAGGGTAACGAGAGAGCACGGAGATGAGATGAAGTGATGGAGTGGATGAGAGCAGAGTGTGTAAACGAGCTGGAATGGAGTGATAGTATAAATAAAGAAGGAGGGACAGATGGTCAGACAGATGGAGGGATGAATATACTTACAGGAGTTCTGGAACATATGAACCTGCATCTCCACCAGGGGAAAAGACTGTCTGAAACTGTACGTCACAGATGTCTTCTTCTTCTGAAAGATCTTTGTTACCTGAAGTCGGGAACATAAGGGATGTTAGGCTGTGTAGTTTCATCATTATACATACACATACCCTTAACACAAAATTGCTTAGATACATATGACTTTTTTCCCCCCTTGTGTCTAAATAGATGTACTCTAGGCCAAGACTGGCAATTTTGAACAAACTAAAATATAAGATTTGATTTGTTTAACTTGTTTTGGCCACTGCATTATTTCCGTACTTCCATTTGTGCTATTTAATAGTTTTGATGACTTTCCTATTATTCTAAATTAATGAAAGAATAAATAATATGTACAAATAGGTGTTTAAGTTTTGACACCTTCTCGTTCTTTATGTCTTCAACAATTGTTATTATTAGTAGTAGTTGCAGTAGTTCTATGAATAAATATCTAATATGTATGTATAAAGAATATGTTATTTTTGTCATTTTGGCTGCAGCGAGGACCAAAAATTGCTTGATTGTGACTAATGAATTACCTGTAGAGATATTTTATATGTATTAGGGGTGGGCGATATAGCCTCAAAATTATATCACGATATTTCAAGAATATTTGCGATAACGATATTAATGACGATACATTTTTATTGGTTAACGTTTTATTGGTGATTGCAGCTGGCAGGCTGCAGCATTTATTAGTGCAAACAAAATGAAGGGCATTTTCCATCCTTTTCCAATGAGCTACTGTCATCGATGACAGACTACCTAATTCGAAGTGTAAATCTATTGTCATAAGGTGGCAGCAGCAGCTGTGTGTTCGACTTGAAGCAGACCAATGCTTCAAAATTGGTATGACAATTGGTATGACATCAAAATTCCACGAGAGTGACTTACCCTTTATTTACACTGCGGCGTGCGGTCTGCGGCGTGTTGTGGCTCCGACGCGGCCATCAGAGCTAGTCTCTAAACACAATAATTGTGTTTACACCAGCCGCGCTGCGGCACGTTTCAGAAGTGCGCCGCTTTGCTAAAGATAGGCATCTCGCCTATTTTTGACGGTAAGACTATGCGCTAAAATATGCTCTAGAACCGCTCTCGTGATACTTTGATGCCATTAGGGTTGGGTATCGTTAGAAATTTTCCGGTTTCGATTCCTGTTCCAGTTTTGCCTAATGAATCCGGTTCTGATTCCGGTTCCATTTAAATCAACTATTTTTATTTTTTTTTACTATTTTACCTTCATTGAATGTAGTGTTGCTGGAAGGTAGTAAGTAATGTTGAGTAATGCTAGTCCATCAATCACATGTGCTTCAAAGTTGATGTTTTTTACACTATCAATAACATTTTGCTTTTCAAGCAGGAATAAGCCGGTTGGCCAAATAGTCCCTTGAGGGCTAAGACACTTCTTCATTTCCCTAAATTAATGAAATATTAACTGTTATACTTATAACCATGTATACACACACTCCATAAAGCCCCTATTTTACAAATAATAATGCAGTCAGGAGATGGTGTGATGCAATGAGTGGTTTCCACATTTTTAAACATTTAAAATGCATGAAAATAAATATTTTCTGTCACTTTATCAGTCTTGAAATTACCTGTACACTAAATAATCTAACCCTCATACTTACATAACAATAGCAGTCTATTTATTTAGTGGTCCAAGTTGAAGTCAGTATGTATATTAATAACAATATGGGACAAATATAATGTAATTTAGTGGCGGCAGGAGCTGCGCGCTGCTGGTACATGAACAGTCAGACAAAACAACGTGCACAGTTATCAAAGAGTGCGCGTATAGTCGCGGAAAACGATGTGTTCGGCAGTTAAAAGACGCGGCACGTCTGTGGAGTGCGCGTCATGGGAAACAATGTGCTCAGTAATTAAAGAGGCAGGCAGCGTTTCTGTTATATGGTTTGTGACACCCTTTATGGGAAACGCGGGCGCAAGGCTGCTCACAACGCTTGGTCACGTGTCGCACCAGAACCATTTTTGGAACCGAAACTTAGAAATTGCTCACGGTTCCGATTCTTTTCAAAAAAGATGTTATACACCGATCAGTCTGCGCAGCGCTGCTTCAAGTCGAACACACCTATTGGGTTTGTGCTGTTGTGCGCACCAGGGAATGTAAATGCGCCATACATCATCACGTCGCTATGTCATTGATATCGCGATATGACACTTTTTTTTAATAAATTTATACCGGTATTATCGTGGACGGTATGATGTGGCACACCCCTAATATGTAAATACTGTATATGAAACAATTACATTAAATCTAAATATATATTTATAAATCCAGAAGATAAAGTTGTAATTTTAAATATAAAAAAATTTAAATCTAAATATACAGTTATAAGTCTGAAATTGTACAATGTAACTCCGAATACAGTTATATCATATAGGCTAAATGTTCTTGAATTTTTTGATGAAAACAGTAGGCCTATACATCTTGTATACATTAATCAATGCAAATATTGTACTATTATATAATTATTGTAAGTGCACATGACTCTAAACCCAAGTGAGTATTTTTCTTCTACTATATCTTCTGACAGTAATTAGGCAAATATGCGCTAAGTGAAGACTCACCACTAGCAGGTCATTAAAGAGGAAGACCTCGCGCTGGTGAACTCCACTCCGCTGGGGTCGATTGGGGTCAGGGACTTCATACAGCTGACAACAGCACACTAGCCTGCGATGTGGCAAAGAAAGCACCTGCACACGCACACGCACACACACAACATATTAAAATACAGCTTGGTTTGTTTCACACTAAACCACACAAATAAACAAACTAGAGATCAAATTACCTTTTTACTACAAGCTGAACAACAATATGGAGTTTCAACCACAAGTATAACATGCATGAGTGAAACACATGGTTTGACTCACAGGTTTCTTGCCCACGATGACCCTCTCCACAGCCTGCACTTGAGACACATGGTCATCATTTGTCCTGAGTTCCCATTTCTGAATGCGCTGGTAGATGCCCACTAACATATCCCTGGGAATATCCTGTCCATTATCCACTCCTGCCAATGAAAATGAGGGGGAGAACGAGCAAGATACAGATGGTGAAAACTGCTGTACTGTCTTCAGTTGGAAACCAAAAATCAATCTGATTTAGCTGAAGGTATATTGGATTGGATTACCTCTAAGGTTCTTGATAAAATCCTCCAGCTTCATCTTCCTCTCAGCTTTGACGTTGGGGCTGTACATGTCTGTGTTGAGAAGGATGATGGCAAATGCCAGGATGAAGATAGTGTCTGGGTTCTGAAACTGGCGGACAAGTGCAGGGTTGCACACGCAGTATCTCTGACTGTGAGAAAGAAAGAAGTTCATACTCCTGTGGAACTTTTTCTGCCTGTGCGACTAAATTTTGTGTGTGGTTGCACTGGCGCGACCACCACATTGGTCAACTCATAAACGCTGCAATTTCTGTTGCATATGAGAAACATCAAACGGCAAACGAAATTGAAAGCATAATGAAACAGCGCTTAGAGAGTATACTCGCCGCGTCAGCACGAGCGCGAAGCTGCGCGCAGCAAAATGACGCGCATATTGAGGAAACGATGGATGGGTTTCAAGCGAGTCAACTAAAAGACCGCTTCTTAAACCAGAGAAGGTGAACATGCTGGTATTCTTGTGGGGGAAAAAACACAGTGGGAAGAATGAGCCTGGAGCCCTGAAATATGAAATGCAGAGAAAAGAGCAAAGGGTGAGATGAAAGCAAAGGCTACCTGAAGGCCTCTACCAGTCTCTCCACCTTCTGGGCTTCCCCCTGAACCTTAATCTGAGCCTGAAACTTCCTCAGGGCGTCATCCAGATCCATGCCCGAGAAATCCATCTCATCCAACACACAGCTGAGAAAGAAAAACAAAAAGAAAGATCGCTAAATTCTTCTGCCAACATGTTTTTGTTGATTTTTTAGCCTGTGTCTGGTTTCTGTTTTTTTGCCCCCAGGCTGGTGTGAACAGCATATGGATGCTTTGCTACAGTCTGGGGTTGGAAGACAGGAAAAACATCATTACTAACTCCAACACATCCTTGTTGAACTGTTTCTGACGGTTTCCCAGAAACTCCCCGATCATCTGTCTACTCAGGCCTTTCCTCTCCAGGATGAAACGTGCAATGCCCACAGGAGTGTCTGAGACAAAACCCCTCTCTATCAAATACTGGATCCCCTTCTCTGGTTTCCTAGAAGACGGAGAGAGAAAGACGGAGAGTGAGGATAAAACAAATAGGATATGATTCATTCCAGTAAAACTATAATCAACTGAAATAAAGACAAATAAGACATAGCAACAACAGCCTTAGAGTAGACAGATGTATAGACACTTGAGCAAAAATTTAATCAGATTTTTTTTGTATCCAAACAGATTTAGGTTCAAATCTGTCTTTGGTTTGATCGCGTGGTCTTTTATTGATCTCCGCCATTTGATCTTCCACTTGATTGCTTATGGTTCCATTTCCTCATCAGAATCTAAAGCACCCTGCTAAAAGTTCCCAAGGTGCTAAAAGATGTATAACATATCAATCTTGCATCATAAAATGTTGCAGTTACTTTTCATTATCAATTTCCATGATTTATAATAGGAGCAATGTGTTAAAATAAAACTGTACTACCATAAATTGTCTGTGATCTTTAACACAGCTATTAAGTCAGAAAAGAGGTTCAGAGAAATCACCCTGGGGTTGTCCTCTCCTCAATATTAAGATGTAAAAATTCAATACGGCAGGTCTGATAAACCATATGGAGGAGATATCTGTAGATAGATTAGTCAATAAATAGATCCATACACTTTTCTAAAATCAAGATTTACGGTTAATGTTTATATGAATTTATAAGAGACATATTCAGTGATGGTCATCCTTATACGCAAAGTACGCAAGTTGCATAGGGCTTCCAAACCACCATGGGCCCCCCTTGTTCTCAAAGATGATTTAATGACTAGGGCTGTGCGATTAATAGAATTTTAGTTTTATTTTTGATTTTGGCTTAATTTGTTCACTGTTAAAAGTAGGGCTGCACGATATATCGAAATTATCTAAATATCGCAAATGCGATATATGCATATCGCAAGGGCGTGCGACATCTGAATCATTTTAATAATAGGCTACTTAAATCAAAATGTTGCAGAAGGTCAAAGTTTTAGTTCGACGCATATAGCAGAGAATCGCTTGACTTTAAAAAGTGTTGAGTGCAATAAGTTGCAGAAAACAACTCTTTGCCGTCTCGTCTTGCTGTCTGACTCACCCCTGAAGCGCGCCCACAAGCCGCATCTCGCACAGCGTCTCTTCAGTTCTGCCGCACACGTGCACACACAGAGAGAGACGCGCTTCAGACGGCGCGCAAACACCAAGTTGATTCGTCTTTCGCATCTCCTCCTCCTTATGTTTGAACAGACACATACACACAGAATTATGTCAATAGTACACGTCTCGACGATCATTCTATGCTTGTAAATTGTGTATTTCTTTTTCTTTCTTTTTTTTTTTTACTGACTGCTTGCCTTTAATCATGTTTGAACTTTCTCAGACTATAGTTTTTGCTGTGGTATATGAAGTACTTAAAGTGTATGGAAAGCAAAGTTACAATGATATAAAATTAATAAATTTTTTTTGTTTGTATGTTCAAATGACATTTTCTGATTTGTGACATTACTTTTTATGTACTGCTAAAACACTGCTGATCACTTTCAGAAGTTGTAGTGATTCTTTCTTTTCCAAGAAAGAATGTGAAACAAATTGGTTATATAATTTTCATTTTTAAATAATTTAAAATATCATTTAAATTGATTTTACACACTTTAAGCAATATCGTATCACATATCGAGTATCGCATTTTTTAACAAGGTATCGCATCTCGCATTTTTCTTCAATATCGCACAGCCCTAGTTAAAAGCGCACTGAGCTGCGAAAGAGACATTGCTCCCCAGGCTTTCTGTGTATGTGATCCAAGACAGAGCAAAACACTTAGGTATAGGCTACTTTGGGCATCGGGTGTGCTCTTAAATGGACAAATAAACATAAAAATAAGTCAAAATGTCTGTCTTGGCGAGTTTTTTTACTTGAACATTGACAGTTATGTCTTAAGTGAACATAAACAGCTGGGAAAGTAATTGAATGCTTGTCAGTATTAGATCTGTAAATTCGGTCTTAAAGTGACAGCAGCCTAATAAACCTGCTGTCTCTGTCATTTAATGTCAGTCAAACAACAAAAGAAACTGCTCTGAAAGAACAGATTAAGGGGTTGGGGGTCATTTTGAGGTTTTTATGAATGCACTGACAGTGGCGTTGAGACAAAGTTTTAAATTAAAAGGGGAATTAAAATATATAGATTTAGACTGCTGGACAACTCAAAAGGTCAACTAAAAGAGCACATATCAATCCTATTTTGGTGAAGATATCTTACTTGTTGAAGAGGTTCAGTCCAATGCGGTAATGCCTCCTTTGCACCACGTCGTTGTTGAAGGCGGGCGAGTCCCAGCTATGCCTGCTCTCTCTCTGATAGGTCTGTTTTCCTAGAGGAGGCAACGGTTCCCTTAGACTGTCCCTAGACGAAGAGCATGAGCTGCAGTTGATGGTCTCATTGGAGTTGGTGGTGGAGTTCAGAGAGTCGTTGTCCCCATCCGAGTGCTCCAGGCCAGTAGCGGGCAGTGGAGCGGAGGACGAGGAAGAAAGTGGCGTGAGTGGAGGCTGAGTGGGCGAGGGAGACGTGGGGTCAGGGTAGGGGTGATGGATGTGTGGCATAGGGTGGTGGTGCAACGGATGGTGAAGGTGTGGGTGGTGATGGTGGTGCATCATTGTGCAGTGTGGTACGTGTGTTGGAAGAGGGGATGGGATGGGGCGACCCGGGGGTCTCGTCTGGCCCTGTGCTGCACAGGGATTGGGTGTGCGAGGGGCGGGGTTGTGTTTGAGAGTCCCTTGAGGCGATCCACCCGCCGTAGACTCCTGCTCATGAAGCAGCTGCCTGCTGAGGGATCCTCGATCTGAACGGTCACTCATGTCAACAGAACTGTCACTAGGTGGCTCTATGGTGAGAACGGGGAGGTGTGACCCCCGCAACCGGAAATCTCGGCATTCAGTGCACGGTGTGCTACGCCGGCTGTTATTGCTCCCGCCGCCCTCTGTATCCCGGCTGTCTTCACGTCCTCCGACCCCGCTGCTTACGCCCCAGTACTCCGTGTCTGTACTGGAGGGAACCCGCTCGATGGATAGTGGAGAACATGGCATGCCGTCGTCCATATAAAGCGTGACGTCGCTGTATGAGGTAGCTGTGCTGTCCTCGTGCATGACCCCCAGACGTTCTTGCTCCCCCATGACCCTCCTACGTGAGTTAGGTTTGTTGCTCCACACACACTCGCCAAAATCCTCGCTCTCACCACCTTCCCCACCACCATCCTGAGAGTCCCCTCGGCCAGACTGACACGTCAGAGTGTCGTCCATAGAGTCAGCCAGAGATGTCACCTGAGAGAGGAAGCACATAGACCTTTACACTACAGTTCAAATGATTGGGGTCTATAAGATTTTTAATGTTTTTGTGAGTCTCTTACGCTCACCAAGGCTGCATTTATCTGATCAAAATGAAAGTAAAAGCAGTAATACTGTGAAATATTTTTACAATTTAAAATAACTGTTTTCTATTTTGATTCCTTTAAAAGTCTAATTTATTCCTGTGATGGCAAAGCTGAATTTTCAGTATTCCAGTCTTCAATGTCATATGGTCATTTAGAAATAATTTTAATATGCTGATTTGACACTCAATAATTACTATTAATGTTGAAAACTGTTGTGCTGCGTAATATTTTTGTGCAAACCGTGTTTTTCAGGATTCTTTGCTAAACAAATGGTTAAAAAAGAACAGCATTTATTTGAAATGAACAACTTTACAGCAAAACTCATAAATTTTTCATACTGTAATTCGCTTTTAGTATTTAAAATGACTGATAATAGTTTTCAGTGTTTTAATTGACACGACAATAATTGTCAGCATATCAGTATCAGAAGTTTAAATATCTGTGCATTTGTAATATTTTGTCTAATCTGATCTTATCAGTAACCATTTTAAAATATTTAAATTCTTTCAAATTAGAGCATAAAATATGAAAAAAAAAAAAAACGGATTTTTTTTCTGGGTCTGCTAATGACCATCGTGCCTGTTTATAAAGGATTTCAAGGCTCCAGGGAGACTGTCTCTGCAGTAAGATGCTTTGGAAAAAAGTGTCTGCTAATTGACAAGTAACCAAATGTTCCTTTAGTGTAATGCTGTGGCTTGTCATTTAGAAATGAGGGAAATGATGCCTGAGTTACATTTTTTTATGGATTTGTCGGCTGTAAGACAACATCATATGTTTCAAAGGAACATGAACAAGAATTTTATACCAATTCTGAAGCCATCCCAACTATATATATCTGACCTGTATTGAAATTAATTTAAACCTAAATCTTTAACAGAACTTTAATTTAAGGGTTCACTTCTTGAGTATTTCACACATCTGTCACCTGTTTGTTGAAGGCGTCGTCTGCATGCGAGTACTCCTCTCTGGCTGAAGGACAGTGTGCGGGTGAGTCAGTCTCCTGCTGCGAGTCTGTGGTTCCTGCCTGGCTAGCTGTGCCCAGAGTCGAAGTGTGATGGCTGGTATATCGACCTTGCTGCTGCTGGGGCGTCTGGGTGTGCAAACCGTGTTTTTCAGGATTCTTTGCTAAACAGATGGTTAAAAAAGAACAGCATTTATGTGAAATGAACAACTTTACAGCAAAACTCATTATAAATTTTTCATACTGTAATTCGCTTTTAGTATTTAAAATGACTGATAATAGTTTTCAGTGTTTTAATTGACACGACAATAATTGTCAGCATATCAGTATCAGAAGTTTAAATATCTGTGCATTTGTAATATTTTGTCTAATCTGATCTTATCAGTAACCATTTTAAAATATTTAAATTCTTTCAAATTAGAGCATAAAATATGAAAAAAAAAAAAAACGGATTTTTTTTCTGGGTCTGCTAATGACCATCGTGCCTGTTTATAAAGGATTTCAAGGCTCCAGGGAGACTGTCTCTGCAGTAAGATGCTTTGGAAAAAAGTGTCTGCTAATTGACAAGTAACCAAATGTTCCTTTAGTGTAATGCTGTGGCTTGTCATTTAGAAATGAGGGAAATGATGCCTGAGTTACATTTTTTTATGGATTTGTCGGCTGTAAGACAACATCATATGTTTCAAAGGAACATGAACAAGAATTTTATACCAATTCTGAAGCCATCCCAACTATATATATCTGACCTGTATTGAAATTAATTTAAACCTAAATCTTTAACAGAACTTTAATTTAAGGGTTCACTTCTTGAGTATTTCACACATCTGTCACCTGTTTGTTGAAGGCGTCGTCTGCATGCGAGTACTCCTCTCTGGCTGAAGGACAGTGTGCGGGTGAGTCAGTCTCCTGCTGCGAGTCTGTGGTTCCTGCCTGGCTAGCTGTGCCCAGAGTCGAAGTGTGATGGCTGGTATATCGACCTTGCTGCTGCTGGGGCGTCTGGGGCTGAACCTAAAGAATAATCAATAATTTATGGAAATGATGTAAACATCACATAAAACAGAATTATCATCTCACAGACAAGCTGAATTTTCTACTTTATGCAGGTTTTAACCATTATATTGTTATATTGCCTGTGGCTGTCGCTCATCAAACGAATACTGTGAACGCATGTTCGACAGGATGATCCGGCGAGTCATTCGGCTTTCAGAGGCGGAACTGCGTAGCTGTTGAAAATTCTTGTTCATGCGATACTGCCGGAACGCCGTCTGTATTGTGCGAGCCGCTCGTCTGCTCAGGAAGTAACCTCCATACTTCCTCTCCAGCATCTCCACCTGATACAAAGGAAGATGAACAAACAGAGAATGAGAGGACTGAAGAAAGAGTGCAAAAAGAGAAAGAAGTGGTGCGTTGTTCTTCAAACGTAATGCATAATGTGTCTACATGCTTTACTCATCAAACCTGAAACACAAAGAATCTAGGAAATGACTTATTTAATGGCAGTCTTTCTTAATTATTTTTATTTAAAAAAAAGATATAAGCAGTAATTCTGTAGATGTTGGGGTGTTGGATTATTTTCATACGTCTCGGTCATGCCTCTCCACGAGTGGATAATTCCACAATGCAGAGATCCTTAGTATTATTATGAAAGCATAACAGCACTCTGTATCATAACTACAATCCCATCTTTCATTATGTGAGATGAAGGTTTGGGTTCACATTAGCATGACTGGAGGCCATTACGTATATTTGAGGCGTGACTGTAGTTTAAAGCCTGTAAGATGGCCTCCATGCACATTCAAACACAAACACTTTGTGATTAGTAGATTTTCCTATGGGCTGTTTGTGCTGCTGAGAATTAGGATAAACATTAATTAAGCACAAAACACTTCAGAAAAGTAAACAATGTTTGATTTCCTTTCATTAATGGTATTAAAACATGGTATTACTGCTTTTTGGAGATGGCAACAATTTCTTTACATTACTTGTGTAATTGTACGTAAATATGATATATATTTATTTTCACACTATATATAAGAACACCATGCTATGACCATCTGATATAATCCTGTGCTATTTTTCAAAATGTGAAAACAGAAAAGAAAACAGCTTAAATTCTCATATATTTGCGCTTAGTTTCAAATGAACGCTCAAAATACATTATTTGGGTAACACTTTACAATAATTAACTAACACTTTAATACACTTTAATACATTCACTAACATTAACTAATGGAACCTTATTGTAAAATGTTACAATTATTTGTTATTAAAGCATATACGTTCACAAAAACACTTAAATTAAACAGAAAAGCAAGCAGGTGTGCATGATTTGGCATGGCAGCAAACAGAAATAATCAATAACCGTTTCCTTACCTAAATCCTGCATTTGGACCAGGCTCGGTTGCAGAATCACATCACTTTGTGCTTCTGAAATTAGGCTATTATCTTTTTCTATATAGTGTAGTAGTTAGCTATCTCTGTGTCGTACGTGGCCGCTTGTCAAGCATGAAAAACACACGTTTTATTTAAATTCTGAATATATTATTGTATACAGCATGGAAAGAGCGCTCCCTTTAAATTTATTAAAAACGGTCACTCATTCATCACGATCTCACAAAGTTCCGTTTTAACCAATGAATGTGACCACACAATGAAACTTTTTTTTAAATGAACTTTACGAGCATGATAGAACTCGGCAACGACCAAAAAGCGGTGAGTGCGTGGATTCCAACCTAAACACATCTGATTGGCCATTGCGTTGTAGAAATCAACAAACATGTCTGTGATTGGCTACTTTGCTCCCCTCTGCGAAGA